TGTAACAATACATCAAATTTACAATCATACCTTAGTGTAACTTACCAGAGGGCTCTTAAACGTCTGTATTTATATATTTAACACTTTTTTTTTTAATATTTAGTTAGTAGGTACCTTAACATGGTTTTAAATTAACCAATAATTTCAAATATTATTCTCTTTTTATGGTTCGTAACTTGAACAATTTTTTATTAAAAACCTTTTCTTCTTAAAAAAAGGTAGACTATATGATTGTAACATATATTTATCAAAGTGATTTATTATATGAAAAACATTTTCAATTTGATTTCAATTTAGTAATTGATTCATTAAGTGGCTTTTAATAAAGTAATTCAATTTTTTTTTCAATTCTTTTTACAGTTATTAATTAGACTTATTCACGTTTGCTGAATAAAAGCAACTTCAAATGAATTAAAAGCGTATCAACCTATTTTGCATCTCTTTTTTATAAAAGTTCTACCTATGTATAACCAGTGGCATATTTATCCTTGGAGCATGGGGGCCATGGTATAGGGTCAGAAAATTTAAAAATACACCACTGCGTATAACTTTTAATCGGTGCTGACTTTAAGTTTTTCAGCACTCTATTAGTATTCCTAAGTATTCTAGTATTCCTTTACCGTACCACAAAAAAGAAAAAAATACATGACCCTTTTTTCGAATTAACAAATAAAAAAAAAACTTTTTCATCTCTTGAAATATCTTACGTTTTCTACTAGTGCGTCTTTTTAATTTTAACACCCTGAACCATCTCACAAAGTCATGAATCAAATCCTATATCACTTAACTTCATTTAGAAATTTTAGTTCCTGTTTGGCATACTGTTACTAACTTTCAAACATCGTTAACATTTTCTAAAATAACTATTAGTACCTACGTCGGTGATTTATTTCCTGTGTCAATGTAGAAAAGGCTATCTTATTTTAAAAAATTACCATGAAATAATTTTCTTTATTTTTAGATTTAGTATATAGTTTACTATTGTGCAAGCCCCAGAAACCTTTCTTTGAAATTTTATTATTAATATGCACAATCATGCGTCTCATTAGAAATCATGCATGTGTAAGGTGAATGACACATCATTTAATAATAATTCACAAATAAATTTAATAAGTTGCAAATTATTTCACAATTTCAATGCGATCCATCAAAACTTTTCTATAAAATTAATTCATTTAAAAATATATGAATACAGAGTATTCAGTAAGTAAGGAAACAGGTAGATTGTTACAAACAATGAGAAAAATAGAAAATCGTTTCCTTATTTACTGAACAACCTATTTACTATACATTTATAACCTTTAGATAAACTTTTAGATTTAATCTAAATGTTCCAAGAGTAATGTTTAAAAAAAGAACTTAACATTGATATTATCATGACCAAAAAGCTGTACGCACAATATATAAGATAGTCAGTTAATAATAAATTACTAGCTATTGAAGTTACATTTTTTAATAAATATCATTATAGTTTAAAAAAGTAACAAAATGTGTTAGATCTAATAAATAAACAAGAAGGAGTTTTGTCCTTTCAGCTATCGAATTTACTCTCCAAAAATTATAAGAAATATGTATGTTGATATATGCATATATAGTGTCTTTTATGGTAGAGGGAAAATACATTCAGCGTTCTCAAAACTTTTATTCTAAATGGTGCCTATGGGCCCCGCAGAAAATATATTATAAATAGTAGATGTTTTAGTAGTTTTACGTATTAGTTATAAAATTAAATGTCTTTATAAATTTAAAAAATAAAAACCAAACCTTTATTTCACTAATCTATAAAATACAATGCTCTTAGTCCTAGAATTCATAATATAAAAATAAAATTATATTATGTTTTAATTAAAAGAGTTTGTTTTTAAAAATTTTATAATTTATAACGATCGTGAAAATTGAGCAAACAAAAAATCTTCATGCTTTGCCATCCTTATGGACGCCCATGTATGTAAGAATTTCAGAAACAATAAATGTTATGAATTGGTTGAATTAGATAATTATTCAGAAGAGATCTGTTCGATAAATAATAGTTAATTAATCTGTAGTAATCACACAACAAGTTTTATATTTTAAACATTTTGTTAATAAATATTTACATCTAGATTAAAAACTGGTTACTGGTTACTAATCGTTAAAAAAATTATTGACTAAAATTTTAGTTTTGTTATAAATAAATTTATTTAATTTTAAATGTATTCAATATTATTGTAGCGCTAATGAGTATTTTTAAAGTGCAATTTAAAAATGATAAAAAAAAATATCAAATTTTCTTCAGCCATAATATAGTTGAAAAATTGTAATATTTGAAATGATATTGTTAATGATAATGTTTTAAATATTATTTTAGACGTTTTCAATTAACCAAATTTCAGAATTAAAAAAAAAATTAACAATACATTCAAACATTCTTATAGTTTCTATTTAGTGTGCTAATTTAGTTAGTAATTCTTTTTTTAGGTAGAACCCCATTTTAATGTAATGGTACTAGGCACTCTGATTTTTTTTACTGGATTTTATATATTTTGATTTACTACATAGTATCTACAATTTTAACGTTGACTTCGGTGCGTTTACGATTTTGAATATCTGAGTTTACTTTGGATCCATTCTTGTCGTTTTTTATTCATGATCAAACCACTTTTTGATACGATCATTATACGTCATAAATACTGATATGTTTGGTTGGGTTAAATACTGGATTGTACTACATAAAATTACTTAAAACAAGTCACCATCAAAAAGTTTTATATCAAAGTTCTAGACCATTGAAATTGGACCGAAAAAATTTTCTTGGCAATAAGGTAATACATAAATTAGGTACACACAAAAAAAGTTGACTAGGTATTATAGATTCAAAAATAAAAAAAGGTTTTAAATCAGAACTATGTATTTTTTCAAATTTTTGGATGGAAATGTATTCCGTACATTAAATTGATTGAACTTCAAAATCAAAAGTATAATTTTCTCAGTAATTAAATTCACAGATATAATTATAGTTCAGCAAACTATAGTGATCTATCGAACTATTTATCAAAATTTAATAATTTATTCTATATAATCGTAATCGAATAATTTGTGGACAGTAGTAGTACATAAATTAAATTATTATTAAGATAATAGTTTTAAATTTTAAAAAATAATCTCACTTTAATATATGTGGGTTTCTTAAAAATTTTAAGTATAAAAAAATTATGATAGTTATAGTTTAGGAATTTATATAATTAGATAACAGACATTACTCAGAATTCAATTACTACATCGAGTACAATTAATTAACGCCGATGTATTTATGAATAGGCAACTTAATAGTCTTTTTTTTTGTGTCATATTTTGAAATTAAACAAGTTTTATGAAGAAAATGGTGTAAATATTTTGCTGTCATTGTCTAATTTTTGTTTTAGCTCTGAAGCATTGTATAATTTTTTTTTTAACGCATTAATTCTTCTTTATTTGATTGAGAAATTTGCAATAATTTGCATTTTATATTACTGCGTTTAACTTTTTGAGGATTTAAAAAAAAAATATTCAAATTATTATTTTTTTTATAGGCGTGTATTTAGGACATTATTTATTTACAAACATATTATAAAACTCTGAAAGTTAAGGATATGCATATCTATAGCTTTTACCATTTTAAATTTTCAATTTTACATGAATGACAAGTAACTGTTTTTTTAAATTTTTTCCAATATGTCTCGAAAATTTTGACTTCCTCTCTTTACTAAGTAAACCTTAAAGTTTGATTAAATTTAAATATACTTCAATTTGATAATGTAAACAGTTCGACTAGGCAAGTTAACATATTTATTTTTACTTGTTAAAGTTAAGTTAATTTTGAAAGTAGTACATTAAGCTAAAAGTCAACTTATGTATATGTTTAACTTAGTTTAGTTAAAAATAACTAGAAAAAAATGTAATTTTATTTTTTATTTTGGTATTGTTACAATATACTTGAAAAAAAAAACGAATTACCTAACTTAACGTTTTGAATTTTTAACGCGTTAATTCCTATCCTTATATCACAGCATAATAAGGATCTGTATTACTAATTAAGCCGTTTAGACGACAGTTTAGGGTAGTAACAAAGTAGTTTGTAGGGTAAGTAAGCTTTTGGAGCTAAGTACTCTCCTTACGCTAATGTAAGTAACAAATTTATTATATCCTGTGATCGGTAATAACTTTAATTAGGTCCTAATCGTTAGCATAGTTTACATGGGGATTATGTGAACTTCAAGCCAACAATAGAAATATTTGAAGTCCCCACTATAAACAGTGGCGTATTTTATGGGACGGCAAATATTCAAGGCTAACAGATTTATAAATAGCGAGTTATTTTTTTATTGTTATTAGGACATATTGACGTTCTAATAATTGTTATAATCCTTTACATTTATTGTGTATTTATGATATGTATATTAATAGCTACAAAAAATTTATTTTATAATTTATTAATAAACATAGATTTGCTTGATAAATATTTTTAAATACTTTTTTTTTTTTTTTAAAAATTAGTGAAAATATATAAAAATGAGCCCCTTCCGTAATAACGTATTTAATAAACATAGATTTGCTTGATAAATATTTTTAAATACTTTTTTTTTTTTTTTAAATTAGCGAAAATATATAAAAATGAGCCCTTTGCGTCATAACGTAATGAAGGGTGGCAAATTTTTATATGCCTAAAGGCTAAAATATGTGAATGCGCCCCTGACTATGAAATGAATTATACGCCCATGGCACCAAGTACGAATGAAGAATTTACAATAAAACTAAAGTTACTGACTACTTCAATAAACTAATAAGATATTAAGAAAACATTTTAAAATATTTTTAATTACAATTCTGTTATACCTTACTAACAAGTATAAAACATTGAACTTGAAAATTAATTTACCGCTAATAGAGTTGTTACTAACATCATTTAAAAGCTAGAAGCTAGAACTCTTTTTTTCTTTTAAAAGTACTACGTTGCTTTATTTTCTTCCATGAGACACGGCGTCGACCATCCCGCTCCGCACCATCAGCCTCTCTCTGTTAACGTTTCGGTCTGTCTACACATGAAAACGTGCTTCAAGCTCCCTTTTCGGTGACTGGTAAGTGTAAATTTTGGTTTACTTTCTAGTTCTAAGGTAAATTTATTAATTTTAGTTTTTTAATATTTGATATTTCAATCATTGGAGCTATTACTTAGATGACACATTATATTAAAATGTGAAAAGACAGCTTATCAAGCTAAAACTATTAGTATACTACTCTCTAGGTTATGGTCCTATAAATTTTTATTAATACGTATAATTTTTCGGAATTCTAAATTAGATGACGAAATTTAATTCAGATTATTTCCTATTTTTTAGATGATTGCAAATGAATGAAATTTGTATAATTGACTTATTATAACAAAGCATCTTCTTAGTTGCCTACAGCTTTATTTCATGAACATACTAAAATTAATACTTGAAAAACTAATTACGTACATTTATTTTTATATGGTTTTCTACTAATAGTTTTAAATTCACCATATTATTCTATTTTCAGATAAAATTTAGTTGTACTGTCATATTCAGTTAGAAGATACAATGCCTGTAAGTTATTAAAACATTTTTTAAGTATTTAATTTTCATTATTTATTTATAATTACTAGTTAGCTAAAGATTTGCTTCATCCAACTGCAGTTGAAGAACGTAGAAAACATAAATTAAAGCGTCTTGTTCAACACCCAAATTCTTTTTTTATGGATGTCAAATGTCCAGGATGTTATAAAATTACTACTGTTTTTAGTCATGCTCAAAGTGTAGTTATATGTACTGGATGTTCTACAATTCTATGCCAACCAACCGGAGGACGAGCAAGATTAACTGAAGGTAATTATTACAATAATTTTTTTTTAGTTGTTTGATGTTTAATTTATCAGGCTAGCATTTCATTTTCTTATATAATATTTTCTATTTCAGAAAATTCATAATTTACAGGAGTATTTTTTATTTTTTTCTCATATTCAGATATAGTTTTTACTGGTTCTCGGAATACTCAAATATTTTATTGAACAAATTAATTAAATAATCATTTAAAATAGTTTACTTAAACATACTTTATACTACAACCGTATATTAATGATACTTTAAATGTATTAAAATGAAATCTTAATTGGTTCTCCTGTAAATTTAATTTAATAGAATAAGTAACTATTAAAAACAATAGGTATCTTAAAAAGTATACTACTTCAAAACATTGAATTCTGTTTTTTATTTTTAAAAAATAACATATTTTGAAGGTAAAAAACTTACTTGCGTGTAAGATAAAGTACATTCTTAAGTTGTGGGAAAATTATTCTATGAACTACTAATGTTTGGATACATATAAAAGTTTTGAAATGTATGTGGGTGGATTGCCTTTATTTTCAATTGTTTAGTCTATTTTGTCATCTGCTTCTAGCTTTTAAATATTTATCCACGTTTTAATATAATATTAAAATTCTTTTGTAAATACAATGTATTTTAACAATTGTTATACATTGTTGTCAATTTAATACCCGGTATCTCTTCCAGATTATTTTTTTAATGTTCATTAATACATTGAAAATTACAATATTATTGTGTTGCAGAAATACATATCTGAAAAAGCCAGTAAATTATATTTTGTCGCTTTCAACACAATTAAAATGACTCCAGACATTAAAAAAAGTTAATAGTATTACATTGACAAAAATTTTATTTTGTTATCTAACTTTTTTGAAATTTTATCATTTTAGGAAAAATAGATATAATACTGATTAATTTTATTACATGAAAAGTGATTTTTTACTTCGCTCACTAATACACATATATTTCTCACTATTTCAACACAAAATTTTCGAAATAATTATTGTGTGAATTTTTTTGATTAACATAATTAAGAGTTTTATAATTCTAACAAATGTAATATATTTGAATTTCAATTATCCCTATTTTAGCTATGATAATTTATAATATTTAAATTGTATATCATTGGATAAAATATAATTTATTCCATTAAGAAAATAAAACAAAATAATTGTTATAATTTTAGTAAATTATTTCATTTCTATGAATCAAGTAAAGTATTTAATTTTAGTAAAATGCAGGTTAATTTTTTTTCTAAGTATTGTAAATTACATTAATTATGAGTAATCTTTTTTTTTTATTGCAGGTTGTTCATTCAGGAAGAAAGCTTATTAATACCAAGCTCCCGTATTTTAATGTACAATATAAATATGCGTTACATAATAAAATCTTAAAAAAAAGAATTCCATTTTTAAAGTTCTTTGTTATGTCTTTTTCATATTGATTTATATCAATCTCAGCAAACCTTCCTATAGTTAATTATTATACAATTGAAAAAATTAAATGAGTTGTAACATTATTAAGAAATTTTTTTTTTAATTGATGAAAGTTAGTCACTTAAAAAAAATTAACATTTCACCAATTAAAAAAAAGTCAGAAAGACTGATAATTTTATACTAAAAATAATATTGCTACGTGATCTATGAATAAGTTCCAAGGGACATAGAAAAATTGAACATTTTTTTTAAAATGAATGTGTCAATTAATTAAAAAAAAATTTAATTACTTTTTTAAAACTATATTGGAGCAATATTTTACCTGTTTAATTGTAAATAACATATAAAAATGTTTACTAGTAACCTGTAGTGTAACTTAAAAATGCAAAATTGGAGATTTGTCCTATTTTTTAGCCATCTATACTAATTTTTTTTTTTATGTGTTATACCAACTATTTTAATGACTAAATAAAAAACTAGAGGTGAACTCGTTGTATTTAGTTGCTGTAAATTATTTTATTTTATTTCTTTCATTAATTCTAATGAAAGTTGATGGTAATTATCAATTTCTCTCAATTGTGCAGTATAATTTATATTAACTGTAATTATAATTTTCTTAATTTCAGCTTATTGTGACATCCTTTTAATATCCCGTTGGTTTGGCTTATTCTTTCGTTTGACTATAAAAATATTATTTGTTAAAAAATGAATGGATTTTTCTTATAACTTAAGAGAATTAATTAAATAATAAACATTTACTAAGATAACTATGTGTACTTCTCATTTTTTGTGAATTTGTTTCTTCCAACAAAAAATTTGGAAGTGGTACTTAATTTTGTCAGAGCAACACTCGTTGAACATATGTAGGTGGCATAATGGGACACGCACACGGACACACGGACATATATATATATATATATGTATAACGCAAGGTAAACAAATAATGGCAATAATGTTTCAGTGAAAATTTCAATTTCAATAGAAGTCGTGCACAATGAACCTACAGATCTGAGTGCATTGACTGATCTCACCTAGCTCTCTAAAAACAAACTAATCATCAATAATCCTACATTATTCAAAATGAAATAATGCTAACCATTTTATTTATACTTATATCTTTCATAATAAAACATTGATAATTATTCAATGCTATCAATGGCTAGCTGTACCTATTAATTTTTTTTTTTTAGAATTAATATTTATAGTCCTAACATGTTTTGTTTAAGATATAACAAATAATTTTTAATTATGAATTATACAAAAAAAATTCAGGTGGAGGGTTTCAAAACCCATAATCCCTCCTGAATATAATCACGTTTTCAGCTGTGGCGGGATGAACGATGTTTCGATCGAGTAGTATCGCAACCTGTCAGTATATAAGAGTAATACAGCAGTGTGACCATTATTATAAATCAGGAAATACATTTATTGACAAAAATGTTATCATTTGCCAAACATGGTGGGAAATATATAGCTATAAACGTAGAAACACTTTGGTTAAATACGGTAATAACTGAAAAAATATTGTATTCAAAACCTACACTGGTATTGCTTTTGTTTATATTCTTCTACATTATCAATTTTTGTATTGATAAAAAAATTATTAATGTTAAAATCAAATATATATGTATAAATTTTGTTTCAATATTTTTTTCAACTAATTGCCCTGTAAAACTAAGATATTAATGCACATCACCGAATATAAATATTAATGCGTTAAATGTATCAACGTTTATTAAACTAGATTGTATCATTGACACTAGCGAAGGAAGACTAGTGTGATTGTGTGCTGCTCGTCGCTGTCAACTACAAATACATTTAACTGGTGAGTTTATTTATCATCTTTATTTACGTAATAACTAAATCATTAAAAATATTTTAGTCATTGAGTAAAATCATATTCTTATTCCTAATATAGTTAATAGAATAATCCATATTTAAATACAGTTTAGATAACCTTATCACTAAATTAAAAATGAATAAAAACAACCAATGTACATTTGAACTATGCATTATGTTATTAAATAAATAATATTATTATTTAAAACTTTGGAGTTATGCAGTTATAAGATATACTGAAAAATTATATTAATTTTTTTATGATGCTATTCTTTTTAAAATTTTATTTTAATTGTTTAAAATCTTAAACTCTTTTATTGTTTTAGTAGCGGAATGCAGTATTGTAATCATCTAAATACTTAAAAAAAGTTAAGCGATGCAGAATGTATTTGCCCGGGACATGTTTTCAATGGGCTCATTTGATGGCAGCGTCAAATGTAATGGACATGTCCAGTTATCTGGTCGTACATCAAAAAAAGACCGCAAAGGGTGTAAAAAAGAAAAAATTGAGACTGTATTAAAAAACCGTTTGATTAGCTCACCCAAGTCAAAAAATACATTACCTAAAGTACCTAAAATAACATTAAAAACCAAAAATTTAGTAAAAACTATAGAGTTTGATGACAATAGTGCTGTTGATCAAGTAATGAAAAAGCAAAATGTCAAGGAATCCTCCATTTATAATGACCTCTTTCTTTATAATACACCTCCAACACCACCTTCTTTCAATGTGCCTGAAACTATTGAAGATCGGTTGGCTGAACAATCACAAAAAAAGATTCCAGTCAAAAAAAGGAACAAGAGTAAAAATGAAAAAATTGGTTCAAATGTTTGCAAAAAATCTGAAAAATTTGATCCTTGTATAAATGATAAAAACCAATTAAGTTGTAATGTAATAACAATTCCTCCCAAAAGGAAGTATGCTAAAATGACAAATTGGCAAAAAGATTGTGGTACTCACCATGAGACCTTACAAAGGATACAAAAAGAATGTGTAAAAGAAGCTAAACTAAGAGAAGACCTTTACCCATTAGGTAATTATATATATATATATATATATATTTGTTATTTATATATTTATATGTTAATAAAATACATTGAAACTTGTGTTGAAAATACTTTCAAGCCTTCAAATTCCTCCAAACACTTTTTACTTAGTTAAATGAGTAAAGAAAATATATTTAAAAATTTGCATATATAATTTTTTTATAGATTTAGTATCATCTGACACCGAAGAAAATGATAACCCATTAAATTTAGAATTAGAAGATACTCCTTATCAGAGATTCTGGATGCCTGCTGTACGAACAGCTTCATCTGATCGCGATGCCAAAGTGAAAAATCTTCGATCAATACTCAGGAGAAGATTTCATCAACTATCAAATCTACCTGATAATTCACCTTCACCGGATTTGGTATTTGCAATGACTAATGCTATACGACATGATCCTGCTTATGTTACCAAATATATTTGCTCAGATTCTGGTTCCAAAATTAAAACAAAACGGTAATTTTTTTCAATAATATAATACAAAAACATAATATATTCAGCATTATTGATATTATTAATGATCTTTTCATTTTTATGGTAAATTATAACTAAATTTTTATTTTTTATTTATGTTTCATAATGTATTCTAAAAATATAAAAATTGATTGACTATACAATTATATATTTTATATAATATTAATATATAAATTAATATGTGTTTTTAATAAATAAACTTTTAATCACTATTTAATTAAAAAAATAATTTTTATAAACACCTTAACTATGTTTCTTTGTAATGGTTGAAAATTGTGTTACCAAATTAGCTGCAAAAGATGTAGTCTTATTATCATATTATTGTTTAACAACTTGTCATTATAATAACAGAGAATAGGTTTTCCCTTAATTATTTATTATAACAAAATTAAATTTTTTATAGAACCAATGGAGTAACTATGAAACAACAAAAATGTTGTTTGGAGAGATGTCACAATTCCGCTATACCTTGTACGCGCCATTGTTTCAAACATATATTACGTAATGTTGATCAACTACTTTTTGAACATTGTTCTGCTCGAACAAATCAAGGCCCATGTACTAATACAGTATTTAATATACGCAATGTACAACCATTATGTTTTGAGCATTTATATTCAAAAATTTCAGTACAAGTAAGTAAATAATTTAATGTAAATATCATCAAATAAATTTCATATTACTAATGTACTAATAGTCCTTGTACCCTACCATCTCGGGATGGAATCTCATATATCATTAAAACTTGTTGCATTATTTCTACAAACTGTACCTTAAAAATAATAGCAGTACTAAAAGATATATTAATACTATGTATTGAAAGCTATAAAAATAAATTAACTAATGTTTTAACTTATTTCTAGACTGAAGAAACACCTTCAATCAAACCTAAACCTCGAAAAAGACCTAAAAATACACCATTTAATAAGTTATCTAAAAGAAGTAAAAAGAAAAAACAGCCACCTAAATATCCTCTTGAAACTCCTACCCCTCCCCCTCCTTATACTGGTACAATAGAGTCTAACTCCACTATTGAACCAATAACTTGTACTAATGAGTTGACACAAAATGTTGGTTGTGACGTTGCATCACTCTACACATCCGTTGCTAATCCTGATATGTATCTCCATCCAGGTAAAATTTAGCAAACTTGAATAGTTCATATAAATATTTAATGTACGTAATATGTTTCGTTAGTAGGAAGTAACATTATTGCTAATGAAGAAGTTGGTGATGAAGTTCTTGCTGGCTTAGATGCTGCTGAATTAAGCCATGCATCACGTTTATTAGATGACCATGATGATATAACCAGTGTTTTTAGCCAAATACCTGTAGATGCTTTCAACGATCTCTTTACTGGTAAATATTTAAATATTATGTTTTTAATTTTGTACTTTATATAAATATATTTTTTTTTAGTTGATAAAAATGGACAGTATGTACCTTCTCGCGAAGAAACAGAGGAACTAGAACGAGCACTAGAGGCTGTTGATATGGATGTTCGATCATTAGAGCGATTATCACAATCTCATATGGCTAACATATTGGATCCAGCATCATTGTTAGCTGATTTACCAATATCACCTTTTACTAGTTCATAGCAAAGTAACAAGAATAATTATAACGTAAAGGTAAAAATCATAAGTTAATTAAAGTGTATCAGATATTTATTTATTTTTAATATTAAACTTCAATGGATAATATTTAGAAATATATATTAGGTGTCTTATTATTTAGATAAAAAAGAAACAAAATGTATTGTATTATGATTTAGGTTTAATTTAAAAAATTGGAGTGTCTCACTTACCAATATTAGTTGAACATGACAGAAATCACAAATTAATAATGTAGTTTTTTACTAAAAATTTAATTGATGTTCTTATTTTGTTACAATTACTTTTTCTAATATTTTAAAAAATATTTTAATCTACATTTTTTTTAATCATTTTCTAATTGTCTATGTTCTCCAATTAATTCCAAATGGATTGAAATTGTAACAATATTGTATTTAAGATTTTTGAACTTGAATTAAGTTTTTAGTTATAATTTCTTATGAGTGAAACATTTAATGACACACTCTCTCTTTGTAGTATTCTCCCTAAAGGTCGAATTATCGAATAGTCTGTTGTTTTTTTTTTTAAATTATTCTATACAGAAGTTATTCTTCCTATAAATGTATGGCTTTTACCTAATGAAAAAAAATGCCTCAAAACCTCAACTTATTATTTCAATTTTATCTTATCCTATAATTAAAGGTCTAAATTTACACAACATAATCTAAAAAAATTAACAATCAAACCAGAAAATTGGTATCTATAACAATTTTTATTTAACAAGTTGATGGACAGAATTTAATTTTGTTGCTATGACAGTAATATTACAATTTTGTAAAATACTATGTATGCTATTTACTATCCATATATGGATAATAAATATAAATTTAAAAAAAGTATATAATAAATCATAATATATATATATATATATATTTATGTGTTTGATAACACTAGTTTACAACAAAATTGACCTATGACTTATGATAGTCATTTTTTATGTAAAATCATCCACTGAGTTCGAAAATGAAGTCAAAAAGTAAAACAGTTTTTGAGTTATTGCAAAAGTAGCATTTTTCGTGGGGCGCGAAAAAGTGTTTTCATGATATTCTAAATATCTTTAGTTGCATTGAACCGATTTTCATTTTTTTTTTTACATAAAATTAAACAATATTAAATTACCTATAACTTTTATCTTAAACAATTTTTATCTGACTTTTTTCTCGTTTGCTATCAACGAATTTACCACTGAATTTTATCATTTTTTCAAAATGTCAAAAAAAATTCAGAGTTTTACGTAAAATACACCAATAAATAATAAATTTATTAACCATATACTCAATACACATTATACTCTAATACATAACATTAATACATAATGATATATTATTTTGTAATATTAAAAAAAAAAATGAAGAAGTATGCGCGATTGAAAAATAAAACAAATTTCCTAATATCAGAGTTTTTTTAATGTGATGCTTTAATTTTGTAAAATATAGAAAAAAATATTGAAAAATTACTCACAATATTACTTTTCAAAACAAAATTTTGATTTTTTAAATAACTTAAGGTTATTTCATATAGTTTTGTTGAGATATTTTTAAATTGAGTTAATTATACAGTTTGGTGGGGTTGTGGTAAATTTTCGTATTTAAAAAAAAATGATAATCCTCTAAAAATATAAAGTAATTTTCTATAGAAATAAAAAAATTGAAATTGTTTTAGCATGAATTTAGAAAATAATTTTAAATATAATAAATTTAATATAAAATTAAAAAAATAAATAATTAAGTTTTACAAAAAAGAAAACAATTATAATTTTTGCTATGATATTTTTTGTAATTAGTTGTATGATAACCAAAGAATAATTTTTATTTAATTGAAAATAGGACGCATTAGTCTTAATATTTCTTTTATATGTTTCATTGCTTTCTCTTATAAGAAACCAACAATAGTCATTCATCATTGCTTCATCCCAAAACCCTTGGTAACGACGTTCTATATCATTTATTTGTTAATGAAAACGTTCACCATGCTCATCGCTTTCATTTCCAAGATTTTCAGGAAAAAATTCTAAGTGTGCATGAAGAAAATGTATTTTCAATGACATGTTTAACCCTATTTCCGATAAAATTAAAAAATATACATGTATCTCTTATTCAGAAAATAATAAAATTATAAAATGTACTGTTTACCTATTTTTGAATAGTTTATCAATAAATCGTTTAATATTTCTCTATAATTTAAACTTTTGAAGTTTCCTAAAAAATAATTTACAACCAAACGAAACGAGTTCCATACTAAAGCCTCGTCTTTTGATAAAGTTAACACAAAATTGGAGTCGTTAATTAGTTTTTTTATTTGTGGTCCTATGAAAATACCTTCTTTGATTTTTGGATCAGACAAATGTGGAAACAAAGTGTTCAAATAAGTAAATGAATTTCCATTTTCATTTAAAGCTTTAACAAAATTTTTAAAATGTACAAGTTTAATATGTAAAGGTGGTAGGATTATTCTATTTTTATTAGCCAGAGGATTGAAACATCAATTTCTTTAAATACAAAAATTTACCACAAGCCCACCAAACTGTAAAATAATATATCATTTTCTTTGTTATATATTAGAGTATAATGTGTATTGAGTATATTGTTGATAAATTTATTTTTTATTGGTGTATTTTACGTAAAACTCTGAATTTTTTTTGACATATTGAAAAAAATGATAAAAATTCAGTGGTAAATTCGTAGATAGCAAACAAGAAAAAAGTCAGATAAAAAATTGTTTAAGATAAAAGTTATAGGTAATTTAATATTGTTTAATTTTATGTAAAAAAAAATGAAAATCGGTTCAATGCATTTAAAGATATTTAGAATATAATGAAAACACTTTTTCACGGCGCACGAAAAACGCTAATTTCGTAATAACTCAAAAACTGTTCTGCTTCTTGTATTTTGGACTTCATTTTCGGATTCAGTGAATGATTTTACATAAAAAATGACTATTATAAGTCAATGGGTCAGAAATTTTTTTTTTATTTGTAAACTAGTGTAATCATTTAAATATTTTACAACAAGTATTAAATATATCCAAAAGTAATAAAATGTCAGACTATTAATTTGAATTCTAAACGTTTGCATTGAACCATTTATTGATATTGATTAAAATCGCTATAACATCTTTACTGGTGCACAGTGTTGGATGTTAATTTACAAATGACTTATATCTTAATACATTAAATTCTTATACTACAATGTTTGTTTTAGGTAAAGTATTTGAAACAGGTGCACAGATAGTGAGAAGATAATATTTTAAGTTATAATAAATCAAGCATAAAGAAAAAAAGTATTTATTCACTTATAAGCAACCAGTTTTACATAACTGAGTGCAATGTCATTAAAAAATGGTTTGGTTAAGCAATATTAAGTTGTACCATATAGTACTTGGCTAGTATGGCTTGTCATAGTATAGGTTAAAGTGTTATTTGTTAATTTATTAATTTTTACTCAGATGGTATTCATATTTATTGTATAAATTTATAATTAGAATTTTGATAACGTGTGTTAATACAATGTGGATATTTGATACATTGTAAATACGGAATATAAAAGTTAAAATATTAACTACTCTTGAAGACTCAATTAAAAAAAAATTATGTTATCCTATTTTCTATGGAATAGTTATATTTTCACAATATATTCTCTATTTGATAACACTAACAGTTAACAAATATTAATATCTATGTATGTATAATAAATATGTATTATTCTTAGTTGGGTATACACATTCCTTTATAACATCTTCATGTAAACTTTTTTATAATATCTAACATCATTTATTACTCATATATAATTATTTATAATATGTAACTTCCACGATCTTGTATATATTATAAAGTGGTACCTTTTTGCATTTTATTTTTCCTTCTTGTATGTTTTTTTGTACAATTGTGAACAAAAATTTAACTAGTAGACTATAACAATGTTTTATTTGTATTATGTGTATGTACAATAAAAAATAATTAAAATAAATTGATTGTAATTTGCTTTTTTTCTGTTTATTTTATGTAAATGCTCTGGATTAAAATTCAAATTTATAAATCCTTTAAATATTTGTAGACAACTGAAAAATCTTTATCGCCCAATGCTTTTGATGACAGAGCATTATACATCTCTACTGTCTTGTCAGTTAATGGTATTGGTACATGTGAATTATTTGCTAGAGTTTTCCCTAGGTTCATGTCTTTTAATAGTAAATCAGCTTTAAACCCATTCTGGAAAAAAAATCATTAATTTCTAGTTTTGTTAGTAATTATCGTGTAATGTACTTTATATTCATTGTTGCTTGGGCAATTATTTTCGAGAGCTCCTGGTACAGGATTGTTTACTTCAGATGCCCAACATCTACCTGAGCTAGTATTGATCACTGATGCAAAAAGCTTAGGGTCTAGTCCCAATCTAAAAGTGTTAAACTTATTATACCTTTTCTAGTTTTATTATTTTAACCATGTTATTTTACAATAAAGCTTATAACTTTTGAAGAAAAATTACTTTATGCCTAAATTCATGGCTTCAGCCACAGCTACAGTAGACATTCCTAGAATCATATTGTTACATATTTTGGCAATTAGACCTGATCCATGATTTCCACAATAAATAGTTCTTGAACCCATAGCATTAAATAAACATTGATGGGCTACAAGAGTATCTTTATCTCCGCCAACCATAAAGGTAAGTGTGCCATTAACAGCACCAACTACTCCTATAATATAAATTTTTAAAGTTTTTAATTTAAGTTCAGAAAAATACTCCTTATTTACCTCCTGAAACAGGAGCTCCTAAAAACTTGCATCCTTTACTCTCAACCATTTCTGCTACTTTTTTAGATGTGTCCGGACTGATTGTACTGCAGTCAATAAAAACTTGATTTTTTTTTGGTGATCTACAAACATAGTTTTAAATTATTTACAGTTATTTTTATAAGCTAATTTTGTACTTATACTGACTGTCCTATTGATATTTTAATTTATAGCTTACTCAAGTAAAACAGAATATGCTGAAAGGACATGAGTACATTCAGGTAACATTGTGACTACTGCTTCAGTATTAGCAACCACTTCTTGAAGAGTATTCCCAGTTTGGACTGATCCNCTTCTTGAAGAGTATTCCCAGTTTGGGCTGATCCATGTGATTCTTGTCGAAATATTTCCATTCTATTGGCACTTATATCATAACCAAATAATTGATAGCCCTAAAAATTCCTTGTGTTCATTTTTCATGGTCATAATTTTGCAATAGGATATAAGATTTTTTTTTTACAAAGTGAAATATAGTGGTAGAATTGGCCATAAAAAGTAGAAGTTGATAAAAAAAATTATGAAGATGGTTGTCAGAATGATAGATCTTTTGAATTTATTTTTAATTTAAAAATAATGATAATTTTTTTTTTATTCTAAAATTGAAAACCTTTTTTTAATTTAAAATTAATGTAAGATGTTC